AGGTTAAATCTGTTTAAAGTTGACAGATGTCAAATGTTTTACACATAAAATTGGCTTTAAATTCTTCTTTGTGTTCGTCGTAGATAAAGTATAGTATGCAACTCGTTTTATAAACTTCTCTTAACACTCGTTTTTATTAAACACTCGCTCGCAAGCTTTGCTCGTGCCTAGTAAAACTCGTAACTAAAATGCTGTTTATAAAACTTGATACACAATATACTATTAAAATGTTTATTATAAAACAGTGTTATAACATAAGTGCTATTATTAAGCTTCTTGTCTTTTTAAAAATGCAGTTCTTCTAGCAATATTTCATTGTTGTATTTTTTATTAAACTTATCCACATACAAAATTGGGATTTAGAAAATTACTGTTGACCCCCTTAAAAATTATAAATGGGAAGGAATATCCAGTAATAACTCTTTTTGAAGGTCTCTTAAATCCCTACATTTTATCCTATTAATTTTTAAAGTCAGTTCGTTTTCTAAATATTTAAGAAAAAAATATTTTTTAATTTATGGTAGTTAGGTATACTTTCGAGTTACTAGGTTCTTGGGTTGCACAAAATTCTGATTCTGGTAAAACGATTACTTTTTACTCTGTAATATAAATGTCTAATTTGTAGTGATATAAATAAATAATTGTAACTATTGAAATTTTAACTAATATAATAATGCATTAATTCGTTTGATCCCCCATTTCACATATTAAATGCATATATGTTGATTGAAGTGGTTGGTATAAATACAATACTCTTAATTGCGCTTTCATTATCATTCCCGCATTGTTATAACCATAAACCAACCAACTAGATAAACATAAACGCGTCAAATGTAATATAGGAAATAATATTTGTTTGATTAAACACGAAAGTTGATTGTAGTTTCCTAATGAGTATTTTAAAGTGGTTACAGAAATCAATGAGAGTTATTTTTATTTCCTAAAATGAGAGCTGTCACAAAAGTACCTGCATTTTTTTAATTAAAAATCCATCACTATACCTAGTTACGGTTTTTATTTGTGAAATCTGTGAAAAGTATTTTAATTCATAATTGTTATTATTCTTTAAATGAATACTTGAATAATAATTTTAACTTTGTTTAATAATGTTTATAAATGTGTGTTATGTTGTTTATATGCATTATATTACATACCGTTTTTTATACCTAGCTATCTTAATGTTATTTTTTTAATTTTATACCTAAAGAGTCATGACGTTTAATATAATGTTTATTACTTAATAAATTTATCTATCTATTTAACAAGAGGGTTATGTCTTTAAGGTCCTAGGGCACCTCGATCTTTGTGCCAAGTTATTTTCGGGACCAATTTAAGTATAAAATAAATTTTTCTTACTACCTCGACTCAAAATACGTTGTTTCGTCCCCGATTCCACGGCAGAAAGTTTACGTTTTATGCATTGGTCAAGCTATACGCGCACACTCTAATAGCGGGAGTAAAAATTTTTTAGTCGTGTGCTTAACATTCAAATTTCGTACTGCCAACATGAGAAACACAAAAATATGACAGTTTTAAACCATAATTTTGCAATTATAACAACAAATAAACAATTTATGTTTTTACTTTTTATGTTGTTTTAAGTGTTTAATGGTACTTTTATTTGTTATAAAGTAGTAATTTGTTAATTAAAATACAACCTTTTATTTTTACTGTATTGGCACCGCTGAATTCACGGCCTACTGTTATTTATTTATCAAGCTCTTCAAATGGAGATAGGTACATAAATACACATTTAATTTTTTCCCGTATTTTCGGCCGAGGTAAGAAAAATAGTATACACTACACGGGCAGAATGTGTGGGAGCTCTCACACTTTCTGCCCTTGTAGTGTAATATACTATTTTTGCATTAGTCTTTTAAGGTCCTGCTACCTTTAGTAATTTTAAATAACTGTTTTAGGTCTTTTCTGTTTAGGAAGATTGTTATCCCTATAGAGTATTTCCACTCCATTAGGCGCTTGGTCTGTTTGCTATGTTCTAGACTGTTTTAGTGGATTTTAACCCTAGCTCCCATTTCAGTCAAAATGGGCTTATGTCAGGAGAACAGGGTCAGTGATCATAAATTAAATGTCGCTATTTTACAATCACTGTTGCTACTCACTCCAAATGTAATACCAAATAATTAAATATGACTGGTAAAAATCACTTAACTAATTACGGGACATAAATGTGAATCTGCGAGTACAATTTAATAAATCCCATATTCAATAAAGTCGATATCAAATACATTTAATTTATGGTAAATCCCCTTTAAGAATTCATAAATGTAAATCTGCGAGTACAATTTAACAAATCCCATATTCAAGAAAGTCGATATCAAATACATTTAATTTATGGTAAATCCCCTTTAAAAATTCATTCAAATAATTTAATAAAATCAAATACAACCCTGACATTTAGCTAGATAAAATCAAGTACAACCCTGGCCTTTTAATTAGATGAAATCAAGTACAACCCTGTCCTTTTAATTAGATAAAATCAAGTACAACCTGCCCTTTTAATTAGATAAAATCAAGTACTTATGTACGTACATAATGTTTATTATTAATATTTATTATTTAGAGTCTAACGTAATGACGATGACTCCGTCAATTGATCAAATATGTATCTTTACACAAGGCATTTGTATAAACTAATTATACCAAATAGTACCTGTAATTTAAACACTCTTTTCAATTCACCAAATTTTTACCTGTTGTTTGTTACACCGGTTTTTCTAGAATGATCTCCGTCTCCGTTCTCCCTTTTCCCACCTTGACTACCGGCTTATTCCCCCCTTCCTTTTATCTTTTGGCATTCTACGCCCAGGGCTCGGCACTCTACGTCAATTACATTACTACCAACCTTAAACATGCTTCCAGCCAGATTTAAATGTTATTTTATTTAAATGACTTGAATACATTTTAAACAATTAGGATCTAAATAACCCACGGATTGTTTAGTAGGGGGGTATTTGCAGATCTCCTCAAATCATTATATTTTATTCGTGACATTATCCACAGCCACAGCCTTACTGCCACTGGCTTTTTAGATTATTTCTTATAATTGTTTTCAAGCATAGTTTGGGCGGTATCTATTTAAGAATATTTAGGTTTCCTGGTTCACTCGGGTATCTTTTCTTATTCGTCTATGGGTTCTGAGGACTTCTTTAAATGTTTGCCTTATGTACACTGTACATTGTACAGGTGTACCTACTGCCAGGTTTGCTTGCAATAAATATTCGAAAAAAAATATTTTACCTCGAACTATTTTTATTTATTTTTTAACTGAATAACTTGCATATAGGGAATCGTTATATTAGATCTGACTTTATAGGGGCTCCGCCATCAAAAAAGTTTGTGTAGCGTGCACGACTTTTGAAATAAAATAGTTGTATTTATTTTAGAGTAAGTTATGATAAAGTTTAGTGTATGATTTGTAGCCAGAGATATATCTCTGTTTGTAGCATGTCATATAGCAGACATTAAACAAAGGATTTAATTAAATTTTAATCTGAAATTTTAATAAATAAATAACGATATTAATTTGCCGAAAATGTTAATATAAACATAGTGTGTAGTTACCTAAAAACTATTAATATTGCTGTGAATCTTTATTAAATTGTTTTAATGTGTGTGCACACACATATACATGTAAAATTGTAGATTTATTAACAGTAATATTATTCAAATAAAATTTACCGGATGTAGAAGATAATTTTCACTGCGAAATATCCGGAAGATGATAAAATTGATCACTTTAATTTCAAACTGGCCACATGCGTTGACACTTTTTATTTATGTCTTTCATTGCTAATTAAAAATTGATTAATCTGGGGATTAAAATTGCGGTTTTATTTAATTACAATTACCATATTTTGTCATTGTAAGTAAAATGTTACTTTTCTGTAATTTAGTTGATAACTTTAGATTTATATTATAAGCAAAAATGTTGTTACCCTTTTAAGAGATTTAAAAATCAAATTTTAAAAACGCTCAATATTTTCTACAATATGACTTTTTAAAGAAAAATCTAATCTTAAGTTTTGTGAAGGCTAATTATATCATATAAGTATTACTAACAAAAAATAATAAAAATAGATTTAATGAAATCCACACCTACATGTGTTTTTACCCTTACAGCATTTTCTTTAGTTTCAAGTTGGTATTTTAAAAGCAAAAAAAAAGAAAGTAACTATTTTTAAACTGCTTCCTAAATATGTTTTATTTTTATTGTGTGTGACTGCTTAGAAATATGATGCGTTGTTTTAAGAAGTGGTGTTAAGGTAATAACTAAACATGGAATATTTAGGTACTAAAAACTGAAAAATAGGTAACTAAAAAGGTACTAAAAAAGCATTTTAGGTTAAAAAAACAGCATTTTGGGTAAAAAAAAACATTAAAAGTTCAAGTTTCGTTTATAATTTTGTTTAGCCGCATACCCAAACACAGAACATACCCACAATAAACTATTTCTATGCAATAAACTGTGTTTCACTGAGTGACACTCACTACACAGAAGTTCTATGACAGAACATAAGCTCACTACAAAGAAGGTAATTGTAAAGAAAGTTACTGTTACAGTCTGTGACCATAAGAAAAAATTCTATACCGTTGATACAAAAAATAAAATAAGTAAAAATACGTAAAAGTAGGTAACAAATATGTGAAAATAAACTGATAAATTAAAAAATATGCAACAAAAATATAAAAAGGTAGTTTAAAGCAAAAACCTCAAAAAAAGGTGAAAACAAGTTAAAAAAAATAGGTAACAAAAGTATAAAAAAGGTAGTTTAAAGCAAAAATCTCCAAAAAAGGTAAAAAAGGTGAAAACAAGTTAGGTTCATATAAAAGAAAATCTTTTAAAACACATTTTGGCGTTATTGGTTTTCAAATAGTTACATCGGTTGAAAAAGGGTAAAATAACTAAAATCGCATCCCTAGTAATAACAACATTTTATTTGTTCGTTTTGTTTTATTGATAAAAATTATTTTATTTACAGATAACAATGCCACCCCAAAATTGGGTGGTCAAGTGTCTGACTATAGCAATAGTTATATTGGAAAGTAAAGGAAATAACGGAGTTTATTCAAGAAATCACACAGACTTCGACAGATATGCAAGAAATCAACATAACCCAGAATCATTGCCTCCCTTAACACCTGGAGGGTAAGTGTTATTTTTTTTTTAATTATTTATTAAATTAAATTAGGTCGTGTACAAAAACGTTGTCACATGGTTAAAAAGCTTAAACATATTTTGTTACATTAAACTTATTAATTTGAATCTGTGCCTATTAAGTTAAGCACGGACCAAAACACTATGGTCCATGGTCTCGTTTTTTATAACAATCTTTTTAGGGTCCCTAAATTACCAAGCTTTGTTCAAATAAGTATTTTTTTAAGAAAATGTATATTTATGTCAAATTTTTGCCTCCTGATGAGATAATATAAAAAAGGTAAATCAGTAGGAAAAATTGTATAATTATTTTTATTAAATTTTCTTGCTATAGCACAACTTTTATTATTGTTTTAATATACATGGTGTACCGAAAATGGCACACTAACGGTATGCAAAGGGATTATTTTTGCTATACAAATTTTTCCGACCAGTAGTTATTTTAATGTTTTGAAATTATTTATTTATAAAAAACCATGATAATTTTAGATGGAAGGAGCGTTGTTGATTTTGTTTCAATAACAACTTCTTTTAAATCTGTGGAAAACATTTTCCCCCTAAAGTATGACATACCCTGAGTGCGCCTTTTTCGGGACAGCCTGTATAATTATTTTACTGTTAAATCTCAATATTTTTGTCACAATGTTAAGAAATAAAAAATAGATTAGAATAATGTTTGGTTTTAACGTAGGGCCAGGCTATGTTTTAAATAGTATTAAATGGGTCAAATTTAAAGATTATCTTTAGAGATCATCCGTACTAATTGCTTAGGTAAATGTACTGGAACTTAAACATTTTAAGCAGAATATTTATTTTAGAATATTACTTTGAAATTTTATTAATAAATTTTATATAATAACTTTTGTACACCTGACAAAGTAAGTAAACGAAACTTTACGCATACTGTTGTGTAATATATAATCCGGCCTAATCGAATTAAAACTTTTTAAAAACGTCATTTTAATGCTTTAATAATTTAAGCTGTAATTTTTTTTCTATTAAATATATTTTAAATCTAAAAAATAGTAGTTTTAATAAAAAAAATATAAAATTACTCAATTAATATTACTAAATAATTATACGGTGCTGAAAAAACGTTTATTTTACTAGTTTTTCGTGTTTTTTAAATGCGTCCCATGTCTCGGCTGTTTAATGCGAACAGCTAATTTTTTTCATATATAAAGTTTACATACCAAAGACAAAACAAAACTTCCAAACAAAAAAATTGCTTGAAATTTTAAAATTCTAGAAAATCGCATTATTTAGGCCATTATATGAGGATGTTGACTTCCAAATAGAATTATGAAATTTACAGGATAATTAGACCCTACCTTGATGTTCAAATGCCTGGTAGTTTGGTTTTGTTATTTTCATCTTTGAAGGTTATACAGTAGCTTTAAAAGGAGAAAAATATTGAAATAATAAAAAGTCGCATTATTTCATCCATTATATAAAGTCAACATACTTATAAAATGGATGAAATAATGCGACTTTTTAATATTTCAATATTTTTCTCCTTTTAAAGCTACTGTATAAGCTTCAAATATGAAAATAACAAAACCAAACTACCATGGTAGCAATTAAACATCAAGGTACGGATTAATTATCCTGTAAATTTCATAATTCTATTTGGATGTCAACATCCTCATATAACGGCCTAAATAATGCGATTTTCTAGAATTGTAAAATTTCAAGCAATTTTTTTTTGGAAACCGTATGCCAAACTGGTCAATTGTAAGTTTTATTTTGTCTTTGGTATGTAAACTTAATATATGAAAAAAAATTTTTCAGCACCGTGTAATTATTTAGAAATATTGATTAAGTGAATTTATATTTTTTTTATAAAAACTACTATTTTTTAGCTTTAAAATGGCATCTTAAAATTTAAAATATTTTTAATAGAAAAAAAATTACAACTTAAATTATTAAAGCATAAAAATGACGTTTTTAAAAAGTTTTAATTCGAATAGGCCGGATTTGACACATGCGAAAAACTAAATAAGGGTGGATTTTGTCCTTTGGGACCCTAATGAATATTTCTATAAAATTTGAGCAAAATCCAAGATGGTTGAGCAACGAGTTTCGACGTTTTCATATGGATTGAGTTAGGGAATTTCATGAGATTAGGTTGTGGTTGCTATAGTTGCTAGGGAATTTTTACTTGTTTGGTTTATTGCTAGAGTTTCGGATGGTCAATTAGCCGTCAATTAACCGCTACCTATTTTACCGGTCAATTGTCGACAAACCGGTTTTTGACATTTGAAATTGATGACGGAACGGAAAACATTCGCCGCGGCCACTATATTTACTCAGTTATACTTTTGTTGTTTTGTAAATAGATGGTCTGTTCCTTTTATAACTAAATACGGCGTTTACTTTAAAATACATATAATTATTAATTATTACTTTTACCTACCACTAAATCTTTTTGTTAAACAAAGTAATTTAAAAATAATGCCCCCTTTCTATCAGCGTAACAAATTAGATTGTTTTACGGTCTCTCCTTGGCATTTTCTTCCCCAATTGAACGAAATAGGATTTTTAGACGCGAAATCAGATAACTTTTTTAATTGGATTATTTCCAGAAGATTAACAACTACACTAGACAAAATTTATTTACGGCTTCAGAAAAGTGGATTTTGGAGTCTTTATTAATTATTTTTCAGGAGTTGCTAAACTGATAATAATCAATTATGAAGCTTGCAAAGGAAACTAAAAGTTTTATTTAAGTTACCATAATATTATTAATAATAAACCATTATGTTTTTGTGTATAAATTTGTTTTGGTGATGATTTAATACACATTTTATAATCTAATTTTGGTTTAAAATTAATGTGTTTTGCCTTACTCGATTATTGTTCTAAAGAAAAAACATAGTCATGTTTCCATGACACTAAGTGATCTTTTAAATACAGATTGAGAAGCTATGGCTTTATGAAAGCTTTAGTCACGGGCTGAAGTTAGCTTTATGTTAGTTGACATATTTCAGATATCATACAATCGTTAAAATAAAGCCCTTCTTGTGAAATAATACTAAATGCAAAAATTATTGTACTGACCTTTTGATTTCACCGGCAATACACTAGCATTTAAACATTTCTTCTACACTTTTTCGTAAACTGCTTCTATATCGGATTTAAACGGTTGTTAGTCCATTTTTAAGGGATAAATTTTGATTTACACAGAAACATTTCGTCACCTGAGTATTGGTTTGTGCTATCCCAACTAGCATTTATGGTGGCAGATACGTAACTGCCACTATCAAAGCCACTACAAAGGGGGCGGTGACCATCGGCGGCTACGTTGTATATTCGTAGCTGCTAAGTAACTGCGACCAAAATGGGGAAAGATTTTGAGTAGCCGGGTAGTGTCTTGGGTAGTTTTTGCCACTAAAAGAGTTACTACGATATGGCACTATAAAGTAGCCTACCGTTGAATGCGACTTATCTGTTACGAAGCTGCCTAGTCGCGGGTTCGTGGCAGCCTAGTGTTTTGCCACCGACATGTAGAACTTTCATTAAACTGTTAAACTTTATTCGCAGCGACCTCTTCAGTTTCACACTTCATAAAAATAAATGTCATGATGGAAAGTAATTATGGAAGCCATTATTATTTTTTTGTTATTTACCATGCGATTTTAACGCCTTTTGTGGGTCAATTCCAAAACGCAATCGACTTTACTGAATAAAATAGTGGGTTTATATGACAAAATTTTCGAGCGCCTTTCAAAACATTTCAAATTATTAAATTATTTGCAATAGAAACTCATGTAGTAATTAAAAAAAAAATTAATTTGCTTAAAACTGGCGTGAAACTTTAAAATATTAGTCCACCGTCACAAATAACAAAATATCTAAGGAAAAAATCTTTAGTTTAGGTATATTTAGCTTAAAAACGCAAAATGTTTGAGCCATTTGGCTGTTCGTCTGAAAAGTCATGAAAAAAATATGGCCGTTTAATCCGAAAAATACTTTATAGTTCCATATGCTTCCACAAAGTACCGGGAACAATAATATATTAGGCCAACCCTACCCGTTTGGAACTTTAAAATCTTCGGATTGATAAAGTGACAATTGCAACTACCCAGAGACGACTTTATGGAAACAATAACTTTTTGGGAACTACATGGTCCACGATTCTTTGGAACATAAAGTGATTTTTTCCAAGAAAGTTCCCTGCGCCACTAAATTGCCACTTAATTGCAGCGTTTATGCTACACCGATCGCGGCGTGCCACTATAACGTTCCGCCTTGTCCTTTGAAGTTCCCGTTTGGCGACGCGAGAATCATATTTTTTGTAAAATGCAAATTGAATATTATCAAACCTAATGTTTTACTGGTTATTGCAATTCTTATGATCACATGACAATTATTCATTTATTTTCAAAAAAATTAATTATTATAAAAAAACAGGACCCACACCGTTTATGACGTCACTTCCGTCTCGTGTCGTTTTTTCTAGGTTTATTAATTACTCTCTTAAATCTTGAAACGTTCTCTTCCACTTAATCTTCGAATCCACGACTTAAGTAGAGAGCATACAATATTCATTTTTACATAGCCCAAATACCTACAAGTAAGGCAGAATGAATAACATTCATCAGCCCAAGATTTGAACGCTTGACTCAGGTGTAGAAATCAGAACATACATCAACTTTGACTGCAAATACTTCAGGGAAGTATTGATAAACTTGACCCATTAAAAATATTTAGCACCTTGAATTTCTTATATTAAATTCCTATTCATTACAAAATATTTAAAGACTATTAAGATGAAAACGTTCACGTAAGATAGAATTAATAATATTCATCAGCACCTCGATCAGAACGAGATTTGAACACTTGACTCAGGTATAGAAGTCAGAACATGCATCAACTTTGAATGTGAATAGGTACTTCAAACTGTTTGAATCAAACAGCTTTAAAAATGTCACTACCTGATTTATGATGTTCATCAGTACGATTATAGAAAGATGTAGTTTTTGTTTCTG